ATAAAAACATATTTTTTTAGCTTATTTAATATGCATACAATGAAGTGTTATTTTTGAGTTTCAATAAAGTCAATAAACATTGTAAATAATTTTGACATTTTTAAATTTTTTATAAATATAAACTGTACATGTGATTCTTGTTGACTAAGGCATATAAAATACAATATAAGTGACTCAACGACTTCGAAAGAAATAAAATATATTTATTTCTTAAATGACCTGAATTTCCTCAAACAACTTAATACTTTCCAATTTGTAATATTAATTAAAAAATTATTTCAATAAGTTTTGAAAACACAATTAAAAATATTTTTTTTTTTTTTTTGAAATAATACTGTTTTTATTTTTTTTTTTAAATTTCAAACGCTCATTTTCAACAGGAAAAATAAAAGCGATTTCTTTCTATAAGTTTTTCTGTTGAAAATGAGCGATTTCTTCCTCTAATTTTTTCTGTTGAAAATGAGCGATTTCTTCCTCTAATTTTTTCTGTTGAAAATGAGCGATTTCTTCTCCTAATTTTTTCTGTTAAAAATAAGCAGTTTCTTCCTCTAATTTTTTCTGTTGAAAATGAGCGATTTCTTCCCCTAATTTTTTCCGTTGAAAATGAGCGATTTCTTCCTCAAATTTTTCTGTTGAAAATGAGCGATTTCTTTCTATAATTTTTTCTGTTGAAAATGAGCGATTTCTTCTCCTAATTTTTTCTGTTGAAAATGAGCGATTTCTTCCTCTAATTTTTTCTGTTGAAAATGAGCGATTTTTTCCTCTAACTCTTTCTGTTGAAAATGAGCGATTTTTTCCTATAATTTTTTTTCTGTAAAAATTGAGCGAAATTGAAAAAATAAGAGCGATTTTATACTCTCAAAAATAAGCGTGAAAAATTTTTCAAAAAATCTAAAAACAATATTATTTTAAACAAATATTTTTTAATTGTGTTTCAAAACTTTACGAAACTTCGTTCCAAAACATATTATTCCTTTGCAAAAAAATCAAAAAGAAAGTAAGAAAAAATTATACAAAAATATTCATAAAAACCCAAAAAAGTGTTTCTCGACTTTGATCACCGATCGAGTGAAATTAAAGTTGGTTCTTAAATTTGAGTAATAAATTTTGCATAAAAAAAATTTTTTTTTTCAATTAAAAACGAGCGCAGTGCTGGAGTCCTACATAGGAATGCATAAATATTTTTTTTCAAAAATGTTTCGAAATTAAATTGCTCTAGTATTTATTGCATTGTACTGTTCTCTTCTGTGTACTTTAACAAGCATTAAATATATTTTTTTTTTTAAATCTATCGTTCAATCAGTTTGAATTGAAGACAGCTTCAAAATACGACAACTTTCAGAAGGTTCCAAGGCCGTGCATACTCATGTAGATCTTAAAGAAGTGAGCGTTGGGATTCTACCTCACTCACAGTACACTAGATAGGACCTCATAAGCGATGTGGAAAAGACTAAGCAAAAGACAGTTGGCCTCCATCTAGCTTGTCGCTTTGTATTCAGCAAAAATCTGCTCGGATTTTTAAGAGCACAGATTTCGACCACTTTATTCATTAGATGGGTATGGCATTTCCTTTAATGACTAAGATTGAACTGACTGTAATGGTTGCTGCTGTTGAATCTTGTCATGGTTAAAGTCCTGACCAAACTAATATCAAAAATTTTTTAAAAATATGGATACACTCAGCTCTTATATGGTAACTCAATCAATTGCAATATATTCTGACAGCCAGTCTCCAAAATTTAATAGCCAAAAGTGGCAATAAGTTGAAGAAGCACTTTGCTTGTTGCGAAACGTACTTAGCTTGGGTCCCTGCTCATAGGGACATCCCAAGGCACTGCGAAGCCATTGAGCTAGCTAGAAGCGGTACAGTCACAACCAACTCGGTCCATGATGTGACTGAATCTTTTTCCTTGACTAAGTGTGTGCTGATATTGTCCTTTAGCTTTTACTATGTGCCCAAAAAAAATGTGGCCATTTGTCGAGGTGTACAGAACCGATTCTATAGTTCTTCTAAGCCGGACCGCCAAGCGTTTAATAACCGGTGTAACAATCGTATACTGTGTTATAGCGACTCATGGCAGCAGGATATGTTGCTTCTCAAACGTATTCCGGCACTGTTGCAGAGACATAGATAGATAAGGAGAAATCGATGGACCACTGCCCAGCTCTTAATGCCGTCGGTTAGCGTTTTCTCAAACTTAAACGGAACCGTGTCACGAAACAGCCTCGCGTGAACTTTGAAAGCAGGAAAGTGAGGAAGTAAAGAAAGAACTTATTTGGAGCAATGTTAAAATCTTCTTGCTTTTTAGGTCTTTAGGGAGGGAAGCAGAAATTTTTAGGCTATAACAGCCTAAAACTAGAAAAAAATTAATCGTGAAAAGAATGTTAAAAGCACTTAAGACTTGAAGTTATATTTTCATATACCCATCTCGACTGCTCTCCTGAAATTTTAGGAGATTTGAGTGAAAAGCAACGTAAAGAATTTCATTAATCTAATATATTAAGTGAAGTAAGAGGAAATCCATTATTTTTGCATGAAATTTAATGTTTTAATTTTTTCTTTTCATATCCAGCGTTATTCAAAGGGTTCTTCCTTAGCTCTTGGGCTTAGATGACGGTCGGACTCAACAATGTCCATGATTTTATCGACATTTTAGACAATTGGCCCTAGACTTCGTGAAGCGTCTTTTACATCAAAATTACCGGAATAAAATCGAAATTGTGCAGGACACATATTTTCAGCCGCTTATCGAAGAAAAACTGTAAAATATAGCGTATCTTCTCTTTGTCAGTGCCCATCTTTGACGCACGCTCAAGCAAAACTGCAGCAACCAATGACAAAACTGTTAGAAAGGATTTTTTAGTACAAAATGTCTTCCTTCTCACGTCATAAAGCTGAATCCGATCGAACTCATACAACGCGAGATACGCAAGCAACCCATATAGTCGGGCCACAAGACAAATGGTATTTTCCCCTTAAGCCCAAATGTTTTGATCTAGAAGACCAGCGTTGTAACGTGGTTTCAGCAGAAAATGTATTCAAATTGAGTTCCAGGCTCGTTGCAAAAAGTTATGGCCTTTACCCATTGCCATAGGAGACACCTGTCGCTGCGCAGACACCAATTGCTTACTCAAGGAGCATGGATGGGAAGACACAAACAAATTAGACAATTAGATATCCGATCAGGACCTTTGGAAGGTCATTTCCATTGCAAGCATTGAACACTTTAGCCGTATCACTTCGCTGATCATCAAAAACATTCATACACATATGCTATGTTTTTTAACTCTCCGTCCGACACCAGGGTCTGGACAGACCTTTTTCGTTTTTGGAGATAAATTTAACATACTTAAAATTTAGATAGCGAACTGTGCTCCTAGGTACCCGCCTAAAATTTTATTGGCTATCGATCTATGCTATAAAAACGTATACCTGTCCTTTTAAAAAAGGACGAAAAAAGGATTTTAAAAAAATACACCTTCGGTCCGACACCGGAAAAATGACGTATATGTCTGTATATGTGTATGCGTTAGTTATATTTTTTTCTTTTATTGTGTTGATTCTTTTCTCTCTATTCTATTTTGAGCGTCAGTTGATGCGTGAACAGTGAAAAGAACAGAATATTGCACCGTAAAATATATTTTGCGCGCCAAATATTTTATATTACGTGTTGTATTATTCATAATGAGTGAAAAGCTTGAATTCATTTATAATACTCGTTTACGTAGTAGAAGTCTCAGTATCGATTTTTATTCTCGATTGAGCAACGCTTTAGTGAATGATTTCAATCGAAATTCGGAAAATGTTGAAGAAAATCTTGCATTGAACGACTACGACGATGGTGATGATAGCAGAGATTTAGATTATGTGCTGGATTGTGACGCATCAGATGTTGAAAACGAATTGGTTATTGAACTGAACGAAATAGAAATACTGGACAGTGATGAGGAAATTGAAGACGAAGAACAACATGCAACCGCTTCAGTTATTCAACGTGAAGCTACGGCTGAAAGTTTCTTTGGCGAAGATGGCACAGAATGGAAAAAGGAGCAAACCCCAAGCCGTATGCGCCAGCATAATATCATGCGATTCAGATCTTGTCCAAAACTTTCAACGATATATACCAGAAAAATACATATAAGCCTCTCCATATAGTACTTTTTCCTATATAAATCTGGCCAGACACCAGGTGTCGGACGAAAGTATATAAAGTGTCGTGTCGGACGGTGGGTTAAATTTTGATAAATAATAATTATTGAGAGAGAAACAGGCAATAATCAAAGTGTTCGCCACCATATATTAGACTCCGGTAATATTTTAAAATGATAACTTGTTTAAGAAAGGCATTTTTTCGAAAAAAATTTTATCATAGGAAACTTTTGAAGTGCGCTTAATCTCTGCACGTGGCTGTATAGATATGGAAATACATTTGGTAATGTTTTTAATATTTACAAGCAATGCAGACATATTCTTGAATTACTTTTAAAGTTTTATAAACTTTTTTGGAATTTTTTTTCGAATTTTTTTTTAATCTTTAATTAATCAATTTAAAACATTTTTAACGCTTATTTCTTTCTATTTTCCATATTAGTACATATGTAAATTGTAGTAGATACGTTTTAACAGAGAAATTTTAATAGTTTCGGACTAAATTAATTTTTAAAAAATTTCAAAAAATTTTGCTACTGAAAAAAACAAGTTGCAGAAGCGCTTTACATATGTACATACATATATCTACTAAGTTAAATGGATATAAATTTTTTATCAACCTTTTCAGGTAATTTCAACTGAAAGCATTTGAAACGCAAACTTTGTACATACATATATCTGTATGTATGTGTGTATGTGCATCTTAATATAGATTCATATATATATATATGATAAAATTTACATTTTGGTACATAGTTTTATATACATCTGAATATCTTAAATAATTTTAATACAAATATACATATATATATATATATATATATATATTCTTTTTTTTTTGTATTTTCACTTATATTTATGTAGTAAAATATTTCATATTTTCCATATTTTGCTTATATACTCGCATATACACGTATGTATGTCAACATTTCCATTTACGCCTACAGCCAACAACCGATACAATTAACGCCACAACATTGTTTGCCCTTCAATTGTATTTTAATTTTATTACGCAACAGCTCCTCTTCATATTGACACGGACATATGGACGATTGTAAGTGGCGCGGTGTCTCGTGTACGCCCGCCTCCTGTACGGTCCAATCCAAGCGGCGACGTAGGAAATCCTTGCCCCAACGTTGCAAGTAGCTAAGGAAGAGCTCTTGTGCTACAACCTATGTGAAAAATGTGTGTGTGTGTGTGGGTAGAGCATACATACAAACATGCATTTATATATTTATTTGTATGTATGTATGTACGTATGTTTGTATGTATGTGTGTATAGTAGAAAAGATAGAGTTATTTGCATGAATTTATACTCAAATGTACATATGTGCTATGTATGTATGTGTGTATATACATATGAGTGCATATGTGCGAAAAATGCCAATGTGTGCGTGTGCGAAAAAATGCAAATATGTGTGTGCATGTGTTTTATGTTTGCACTTTTGTACGTGTTAATTGCGAAATAATGCCGATGTTGCAATGCGTTTTTTTAAGTGATTTTTTTTTTTGAAATTTTTTGGAGTAAAAATATTTTTTTTTTATTTATTGAAAAAAAAATTTGTTAAATTTTTTTCTAAATTTTTTTAATATGAAAAGAGCTAAAAATTTTAATTTTTTTTTTAAGTTTAAAAATTAAAGTGTTCGTGTGAAAAATCTCTTTTCCCTCTCCCTCTCCACCTGGCCGCCAACACTCACCTGCTTGCGCGACAAGCGCACCGGATTATTGCCTTGTATTACAATGTCATTCACATCAATATCTAGCTTACGCTCCCAGCCCGCCTTGATGGCCTCACCGCCGCTTTGTTCGGTGTGTTCGAGAAATTCATTTAGGAAATTCACACATTGCGTTGCATCGAAATATAAAAAGCATAAATTCACTTTGTGGCATGAAATACGTCCGCGATCGTCGAGTATGAGTAGAATTTTATGCTTCATCAATTGCCGATTGACGCGTGCCAGACATTTCTCCAGACCGCGTGACAAACGCAATTTTACCCACATACAAAGAAAAATGGCCGCGGCATTAAGGAAGAGCCAACCGACGCCGAGTGAGAAGAGCGCTACGCCTTGTAGGCCGGAGAAGAGTAGCGTGAGTAGTACCGTGAAGGCCAGCGCAATCCAACAGACGAGTATGCGTTTGTAGCAAATGTTGTAGACGGTGAAACGGTAATCGTTGACCAGTGTTTCCATGGCGTTCACATACTCCTCGACCGTCAGCTAAGGGGAGAGTGCAGTTGAGACAATAAAAAATTTTAAATAAATAAAAATTGGCTTACAGTTAGACCCTGCGCCATTAACTCCTCGGGTACCAGCTCTGGACGGAATATTGCTGGTGTAATCCAAGGCCATTTGGTGTTGGCAGGTAATAATGTAACGATGACATCGCCGTTTGCTATGAAGGAAAGAGAAAGATATTAAAGAAAACTTAAGAAAAGATTTAATGTAGACTACTTTCAACAGAGAACTTGTCTGGTTAGACAGTTTTTAAAATCAAGCCCTTTTCAGACTAATCCTTAGGAAAAGCAAAGAAATTTCGTTCTTAAAAAAGCCTACGCTTAGCAGGGAAATTCTATAAAACCTTATAGGTAGGTAATGGTGGAATACTTTATACCTATAACCCAGTGTAGGTACATAATGATTCCAAGACGTCGACCCGGGCTTCCACCCATTTTTTTCGATTAAAAATTCTATTACATGATTCTCTAGGCATCTACTATCGTCAAGGGAGTAAACTTTCTTTTATCCGAGTCAAATTCTCTCCAAATAAGGCTAAACTCTCAGTGAGTTTAAATGATCTGGGCAGTCTCATGTCATACGATCGTTTCGGCTGTATCACCAAAGCTCAGTAGCTACCAACCTTTCTAAGTATCATCTTATCAATCAAGGACTTCGCTAGCCTGCCACTACTTCAAAAGAGTTTTCTAGTTCTAGAGAGCAGATTTTACGTTACCTCTTCCAAAGCTTTTTTTCTGGCCAGGTTTTGTAGAATTACCTGAAGTAGTAATAAGGCATCCGGAAATGGTGAACCCGAAGTCTAAGCTGATAACAATTAAATATACGTCCGTTTGAATAACCCTAAGGCATTGGATGCCGATGGTTTATAAGCTGCGCTCTTCAGATATGTTAGCAAAGAATTGGCAAAGACCAAGCCCCTGCTTCTTTGCAAACCCCTGTCAGATTTCAATCTTAGTGTGCCTACTCAATCCAAAAGCACTTGAACCCTACAATCTGCGCTTATTATCGCGGGATATGCCTACCCCTCCCCGTGTGGCAAGTGACACTAGCAAACTTCGATGGTACATAAAAGAAGTCGCTTTATATCGCTCTGTGTGAGTCTCGTATGCCCGCAAAACTTTTACGGTCGAGCAACATTAAAATCTTCATCAGGACCTGGATTTCCCCCAGCCGTTCGTTACTGAAGAAAATTTCAGCCAGGGTGACACTCTACCGAGTAACTTCTTCATTCTAATGTTGGAATACATATTAGGAGCCGTAGAACTAAATAGAGTAGATACCATAAAAGCGTACAGCTGCCAGCGTATGCCGACGACTTTGATATCATTGGTATCAACAATTTCTACGTAAGTAAAGTTCCATGGCCTCCAGAGTGATTTAAGAAGCAAGGAAGCGAATGAGTCTGTTAGTTAATGAGTAACGAAATATTGCCTCTTATCAAAGTGTCAACCCCCGGCCTCACCTCTCATGCCACTGTTGACAGTCACAACTTTGAAATCACATATAATTTCGTCTATCTAGAGATCAGCCTTGAAATCCAACTCGGAATCATGCTTGCCAAAGGTGCTACATTGAATGGAGTAGACAATTGAAAAGTAGGGTCCTCCCTAGACGAACAAAAACCAAACTTTATAAATTCTGAATCATTGACCTATGGGGTCGGGCGGCATGGACGATCTAAAAAATTCGGTGGCGACATTGAATAAGTTCAGCGAATGAAGAAACAGTGACTAAGTTGGCTGGGTCCCGCAGTCATCCATACGGATGAAGGCACTTCAGCTAAAAATGCAATCAAAGCAGTACCAGCTGGTGGAAGTTGAGGAAGACCTCCATTTAGTTGAAAGCATCAAGGCGAGGAGAACTTAAACCAACCGGTGAAATGAAGAAACAACTGTACGACTCATGCAGACCTAAAAAGAAGATAAAGCAACGATTACATCCTCAACTAGTAGTCAAAAGTAAACTCTTTGATCTAGAGGGTTAAAATTGCAAACCACTTTCTTAATTTAACTTCCTTGGGTAGCCGATGCAGTTGTTTGATGTCCCAGTAAGTCTATTGGTAAGATGTTGAGGATTACTTTAGCGTCTCATTCATAGACTTGGATGAAAAACTTATGGCTTTCAGTGCGGTAAGCCACAGCCATACCACAGAGAAATAGTGGTCTTTCTACTGAGCAGTAGGCTGAGTTTACTCTAAGGCCATGGAGAACTCATAAGGTACGACGTGATACAGAGAGGTCCAACTGCTGTTAACGAAATGGGGACTTAGTAATCTGGTGGATGCATTGATTGAGAATCTATCTCACCTGGAGCTAGGTAAGGTGGAGTGCACTGAGTGTAGGGTATGTCCATGAGGCAAGAGAAGACGGACACACTAACTCAGGAGTAAGGCTTTTAACTGCTTAAATTTTTTAAGATGTTTCTAGCTCCAGTCATGAGAAGATCGGCACGTTGGGTAAAAGAAGATAGAACTAAATGAAGTGTGGGGTAATGTAAGGGAGCTTTATGAGGGGGATAGTGGACTAAGTACGGTCATATTGTCAACCACCCCAAACCAAATAGTCGAACAACCAAGAATATCGAGACAGCTTAATTTTCGTACAGTTTATCGTATATGCAGCTGACGAACGGGCGATGGATTTGCATGAGGAGCTTTTATATCATATCAAAAATACACCTGGAAGGGTTACCATTCCTTGGCCACGAACGCCGGTCTTCCAAAAGGTAGTACGCAACCACTCGGATATTGCGGTCGGAATTCTTTGAAATGAAATGCATAAACAAGATTGAGTGTTTTCGACAATCAATGCTCAAGAGGCAAGTGTCAAACTCACTATGGGCCAGGTGTGCCACTTTCTCATACAAAACTGTGTAAGGCGGGCTATCCAGGAAATAGTTGGGAAGATCAAGAAATAGGGTACGCAAATGCTTGAAAGTAGAACTGAGAACAACTAAGTTGAGGAGACAAAGGTTAGTTTCAGTGAAATTCAATCACAGTCTGCCTTGCTTGCACTGAAACTAAGAGACATAATCAATAGAATTCTTTTCAAAAAGTCCCCCACCCTAATGCGCACTTGTTCTGTAAATCACTTATGGGCAAAATGTAGACCAAATAACCAACAATACATGTGTACTTACCGAAGCCTTCACGTATGCGACCCGTCGACAGTTCAATGGTACGCATCGGTGGCACCGTTTCCACGGGTATTGAAACACTTGATGTTGCCGTTAATGTTGTTGTTGTTGTCGCTGTTGCTGTTGACGGAGCTCTATGGCTGCTGCCATTCGATGGCGATGTGCCATTGTTATTTTGATAATGTTGCTGTTGCTGGTGCTGCTGTAGACCTGCGACGACACCAACACCACCACCAGCACCAGCACCAACATTGGACGGTGACAATTTGGATTTTTGCTGATGTAGTTGTTGCTGTTGCTGCTGCTGATGTTGCTGCAGTGGCCCACTTGGCTGTGTTGTGGCGTGTGTGTGGTGTTGTTGTTGCTGCTGTTGAAGCTTCGCCTGCGAACGACCGGATGCATTCAAATTGACATGCGTACTCTCGGTGTTTAAAACAGCGGGTGCTACATCCGCCGGCATAGGTGCTGTTGGTGTAGTGGCGGAAATCGGCTTTGTTGTTATTGTTGTACGCTGTAAATGGCAATAAATGTTTTGCATATTGAATAATGAATTAAGTTCGAGGGGAGGGGGTTATTGTGGAAAGCAACAAAGGCAAAAAAAAACAAACAAACAAAGAAACAATAAAATTAAAAAAAAAACATACACACATACAGTCATACATACACGTATGTATGTACATACATATATATGAACATATGCACATATATATTGCACATAAATTTCATAAATACAAGGAAGCCATATTTTATTATTTATGGCATGCCAGCATAGGCGAGTGTGCTGTAGCTGCTGACGTCGATAGCCGAAAAATTTTTAAGTCACGTTTATTTGCAGTAATTTAACGGTATACTATATATATATTTTTTTCTACTTATACGATATCGCGCATTTTTCCGCTCTTTTGTTAGTTTCTTTTCGATTTCTTTATTTCCATTTTTTTTCTCATTAAGATTCTTTACAATTTCCACTCTTGCTTTGCCTTGAACTAGGTTTTCTTACTCTTCTTCTGCTTTTTATTGTTCTTCATCTTCTTCTTCTTATGCTCTTCATTGGTTAATGACTTAGAACGCACGTGCCTCGGTCGTGTTTGACTGCTGCACATTTATTGACTTTGATTTTGTTCGCTTTTGTGCTTTAGCATTTGCTTGGTTTATCATTTTTCTTTAAGTTCATTTTCCATAATTTTTTTTTATTTTTCGCTGTGTGAAAAATTCGAAAATTTATGAAATCAATAATATTGATTTGCCATTTTTTCATTTTTATTTTTATTTTTTTTTGCAATTTTCTCATGCTCTAGCTGGCGTATGCTTGCCCACAGATACCAGTAAGTACACATACACACATACATATATGTATGTATATATAAGCAACCTGCAGGGAAAAAATACTAGTTGTAAACTAGTATCCAACTAGCTTACATTTTGACCATAACTAATTATTTTTCATCTATTTTTCGTGTAAGCAACTGGTATTTTTGATAAAACCGCTGCCCTACGAGCTGGCAATTGCCAGTATACGCATCAGCTGCATACTAGTTAAATACTAGTTTATATATAACAGTTAAAATACTAGTTCGTTTATACCAGCAGACAATTAGTTCGCCTCACATCAGCCTGTATCTCACTAGTCTAAAATTAGTTGATCCAGCCATTGTATATTGTATATGTATTTATTTATTTAAATATAAATAAACGGTTGAACCTATTTTTATGTATTTTTTTATGTGCGTTGAAAAACTCTGTTAACGGGAATTTGACTAGAGACTGATTTATTTGAAAACAAAACAACGCACTTTTGGTTGAATTTACTTGAAATTTGCTACATTTCTTCGCTCCAAGAAGTAGATGAGCTGCCGAACTATGTGTTTGAAGCTCAATTTGGACTGAGCATTATTTTTAAAAAATTTTGTTGTAGTAGTCGGAGCTTTGAATTACTTAAAATTTATGTTTTTTTTTTTGACGTCAAACTGGTAAAAATTTTTCGGCAAATTATTTTTCCAAATATTAGAATTTTTGTAAACTAGGCCAGATTTTATCAAAAAAAAAAAAAAAATTATAATAATAGTATAATTCTAGTGAATGACGAAATAGTATATTTCTGTGCTTTAAATACTAGTTTAATTCTAGTTTACGAACAAACTGGTATGATTTCGCCATAAAAATACTAGTTAGATACTAGTTCACTACTAGTATTTTTGCGCACTAGTCTACTTTGTGCTATTAAATATTTGTTTAAAAATAATTTTTTCGCACACTCAATTTTTTTATTATACAAAAGTCGTTATGTAATTGTTACATATATGTATATATATATATATATATATAAACGTGTATTATGCACTCATGGAATGTTGAAAATTGCGTGCTTATTTAGAGCACAACAACACACAATTGTATGGTATTAAACTTATATGAAAGACCTTGACCACAAAAAAATTTATAAAATATTCATTGCAATTCAATAAATAAATAAAAAAAAAATAGTTAACTGTAGCATGTGATTTTTATATATGACTAAGCACAGCAGCTGAAAATCACTTCAATGGCTATGAAGTGTAATTTATAAGTATATAAAAAAATGTATGTGAGAACTTTGCTTGATTTCATCCCAATATCAGGGAAGGATCTCCTTAATGTCAAACACTATCAAGTCAGGCTTAGCACGTAGAGCGATTGTAAGCAGAGTAAAATTTTTTTGAAAAAGACTTCCGATTCGTTAAAAAATTATTTGTAGCAAGACACGTTTTCCCCCTACAAACACCTAAGGACAAAGAGAAAAAGTACCAGTGGACAGCATTCTGAGCTTGATGACGATGTTCTAAGGACTTTAGTTGCGAATAACTCACGTATTTCGATGGAAAAGGTTGCCAGTGAATTGAACGTCAACAAATCAACTGCGTTTCGTCGTTAAAAAAATGTTGGGTACACTTTGAAGCTCGATACATGGGTGCCACATCAGTTGAGTGAAAAAAACAAAGTGGACCGTATGTTAACCGCAATTTCTATGCTTCGACGGATCAAAAACGAACCTTTTTTGGATCGGCTCTCAACTGGTGATGAAAAATGGATCCTGTACAACAATGTTCAACGCAAAAGAACATAAAAACCGGCACACGAAGGGGCGGAACCGATGTCGGAAAGTGAATTGCATCCGATGAAGGTACTGCTGTGCATTTGGTGGGATATCCGAGGCGTGATCTATTTTGAGCTCTTGCCAGCTGGAGAAACGATCACTGCCAACAAGTATTGTCAGCAATTGGTCGAATTGAAGAAAGCAATTGATGAAAAATATCCGATTTTGGCCAATCGCAAAGGAGTTCTTTTCCATCATGACAACGCCAGGCCACATGTTGCAAAACCGACTCTGGCCAAACTGAAGGAGATGAATTGGGAAATCATGCTACATCCCCCATATTCACCCGACATTGCACCTTCTGATTATCATTTGTTTCGATCGCTGCAAAACAATTTGAATGGAAAAAAAATTTAAAAATGTGGAAGACCTTGACACCTTTTCATACATAGGCGTTTATCAGTCTCTAGAAGATTTTTAATTGAAAACATGTGAGGCTGATAGCCTCTAGTTCTGTTATCTTTTGGAATGAAAATCAGAACTTAATTTGCGACAGTTTCTATGGATGTTACATCCTAAGGAGTCGCATACTTATAGTTCGACAGCAATTATCTAAATTAGTACTGAAGATTTTTTAGATTCGATTTTAGCTAGACTAGAATTGTCCATGCTATTGGATGTAATTCAGGATAGCATAGCTCGCAAAGAAGACTGGAACCTTGGCGTTACACACTGCCTGTGGACGGCAAAAAAATTTTTTTTCGATTTGACTGCTCAAAATGCGGCTTGCATTAACTTTTCCTCTCCAAAAAACATTTTTGAATGTGTATATATTTTAAGCTTACGAGGAATGGCTGATGAGCTCGCGACCACAGAAAGTAGGCGATGACACATCAGCTCGCTTGAAATCCCTTGTAAAGGAAGTGCGCCGAAAGAAATATTTGAAAAGATATCATCGGTTCTTTAGGACTCTGTCCCTTCATATATGTGCGATGGTGAAGAGGTAGGCTCGGCTATTTCAACAAGGAGGAATGACCTACTATAAATATGATCCCAACCAGTTTGAGCCCAGTGACGGTCGTAACCGATGAAAATATTTAGAAAGTCGAATAATTAGTACTTTCCGAACGAAAAATTAAACTCTAGCAGATAGCAGAATGACGACAGATTAGCAAAAAACAAGCTGGATCAGTCTGATAACGAGTCCAAACAAGAGTAGAGGCCGTGGTTAAAAAAGGGGAAAGGACATCAAAAAATTCCAGCGGAGAGAATTCTGCGTCAAAGGTTATGGCTGCCATTTTCCGGGATGGCGAGGGAGTATTTTTGTTTGATTACATGCCAAAGGGAGGTACAAAGAACAGCTAATATTTTGAATCAGACGCGTGAGGCAGTCGTACAGAAGAGATGTGAAAAGTCTCTTCCAGACAACGCACCTATGCACGCCGTTCGGATTGTGAGGTATGCCTTAAAAGCTACTAGATTTACAGAAATTGACACCTGCGGGTTAGGGGATCAAGAATTTACCAGCGGTTAGGCATGCCCGTCGTAAGAGGCGACTAAAATGCAATAGTTCTCACGACAGTTGGGTCTTTATACCGGAATGAACCGGATTCTTATCCGGCCAAGGACGGTCACTGCCGCACAAATTTCCCAAAAAGTACTTTGGGGAATATTTTTGCGGTTATAACTACAAAAAAAGAACAACAACAACAGAAATTAACCATCCACCCTGCCGTTCGGACCATAGACTTTTGCCTTTTTATCAATTTTAAAAAAGAAGCTACGGGCACGAAGATTTTCAGACGACAATGAGATGCATTGATGCATTGTGAAGAAAAATCTGAAGAAATTTTTTTTTAGTTGTAGCAAGGCTTTGTATGCCTGTTGTGAAAAGTGTATTACTAGAGAGAGACATATTGAAATATAAACCCCTAAAACTATACTTCTGTTTCATCAACTCGTCCGTCTTACCTTGAGCACTTGCTTAATAAATCAAGCGTTTTAATAATAATTTTCCTTTAGGCTTTTAGGTCCTTTAACTTTTTGTTCTAATTGATTTTTAATTATATAACCGATTACTCGCTTCACAAAAATAATAAAAATAATAACAGTAATGCTTAAATAACGAAAAGTTTATGCGATTTTTAGCGTTTTTGGCACATTTAAAAATAAATAAAATCTGTTTACGATATTGGCTGAAAATATTTTGCCACTACATTAACATTTATTCACATTAAGTTGCTAATTTAGTAGCTCGTAGCCACATTTTAGTACTTCGAAAATGTTTCTTTGTTACAGTATATGGAATATATATATTATATATAAATGAGTATTTATGTAAAGAAGCTATTTTTTTTTATTTAATTTTTGCTGAGACCTTTTTTATTGCTTTTTTATTACATAAAATCGTTTAAAAAAATATTCCATCGAAGTAAGCCCGACAAATTAACTAAATAAGTGGAATATAGAAACAAATATATATTTCTAATTTATTATTATTTAATTAATTCAATTTAAGGCGTTTGATGAAGTCAAAAACTAAATCCTTCAAGTTTTACCATATAGATTTCGTTAAAAAGGATTTTAAGCGCAAACTAGACAAGAGTTCAACGCTCTGCAGCTGTACTTAACACAGGTGCTATACCATCGATTGCCTCAAAAACACTGAAAACTCTCTTAAATTTTCTTTCTCACGCACATGTATTGTATTATTTCTGGAATGGTCTTCGAAATAGCCAACTAAAATCAATTTCTATTCAAATTTGAAATATCCAACTAAATTCAACTTCTTTTCCACGAATACTACAAAATTCCTGTGCCTGAGAGCCAATGGCTATGGCGGCAACCGGCTCAAAACTCGATTACAGAGTAGGAGGTGAATAATATGAGAATGAGGCATGCAGACCATCACAGCTTCTTTCAAGTATTATAGAACAAGGAAGTGCCCGAACGGTCGTGATCGCAGTACAATCACTTACCATATATACTGACAGTCATATTTGGCGGAAACAACAATGGTGTTAAAATATTGAAGTACTCTGATAACACACTCGATCCCAAGCAACAAAACTGCGCCCGTACTAAAGAGCTTGCGAGATAATTACCCGACGGTTGAGTTATCGAGAGGAACTTTCAATCACAATAAAACATTCACAATACGCAGTTGTACCCTTATCTCCAGTAAAACATATGCTAAAACTGGCCTTAGATGTAGAAGAGAATATAACCAGTCAGACATGGCCAACGTTCCACCCAAAGAAATACTAGTTGTTAACTAGAATCCAATTGGGGTATAGCTTTACATTGAATAGTTCATCTTCCAATTATTTCTCATGTAAGCAACTGGTATTTTCACACGGCGATGTCCTTAGAACTGACAACTGTCCGAATATGCGTCAGCTTCATACTAGTTGTATACCAGTTCATTTAGGCAAGTTGAAATTCTACTTCCCAAAGAAAAATAAAAAATAAGAATAAATAAAAATGAGCTTGCTTGTTAAGAGAATCAAACCGTGAATCTCAGGATAACCTCTAACCACTGCATTATCTTTACTATATAGAGAGCAAGGAAATTGGCGCAGTTCAACAGATATTTTTCGAAAATTAAACTAAAAAAACGAAAACATATGACTGGCGGAGTCGTGAAAATTTCCGTAAACGTGCAAAAAATAATAAAAAATAACAAATTTACCTCTAATGAGACTCGAGCCGAGAGCCTAAAGCGGTCCTACGCTGGCGATACTCTCTAACCAGTCGGACATGTAGCGACCAACGTTATTTTGAGCACTACAACAGAGTATAGCAGAGAAGAGAATTCGGCCATGGCGTGTCGGCAAAGAAGAGTCTGCTAAACACTACCTCTGTTAATGTTTAGCTACAAAGAAAACATTTCGATAGAAAACAATTTTGTTTACGTTGTCTCACTAAGCAAGGTTCAGCTAATTTTAGCAAACTAGAGAATTCGTAAGGTCTACCAAAGGGCTCGGGCATTTGAGAGGATGTTTATTTACAGTAATATCTTACAGCGGTATTGCCATGCGACTACAGGTGGTGACTAGGTTGTTCACTGACCAGTAGCCGCATCGAACTCAACTCAAAGCAACTCTGATTTTAAGTTGGGATTTCTAAGCTTTGATATAATGCCGTAGCTCAGAAGTACATAAGAAATTGCAAACCCATAAATAAAGAGGAAATTAAAGTCAGATTTAGTAATTATTTGAAAGGCATTAAATATTTATTCTAACCAATTATAATGGAGACATATATGGTCATAAAATGACAGATATATCACGGACTTCGTAGACAAAGCGGTTCAACAATATCTGTCTGTCTATTCGTTCGTAACTCAAGTAAGGTTAGAGTTAGGTCCGAACAAAAATGACTGATTCTGAGTCTGAGTCTGAGAAATAAGCCTACCTCGCTTATGGTAGATAAAATTTTGCCTAATCCATGGGCTTGGTATAAATATCAGCCAGGTATCTTACACCCAGTTCTATGCGAACTTATTCTCTCTAGTTTATTTTAAATTTGATTTGACGTGATTTAATTTTACAAGGTTTCATTTAAAATCGCACATAAATTACTATAAATTTACGTTGTTCATACCTGTTTAAATTATATTTCACAATTAAATTACCGCTATTACTTTGAAAAAAAAAAATTAAAAATTAAAATTAATTTTGAAAAAAAAAAAAATTAAAAATAAAATAAAAATAATAAATTCCACATCGGTCATCTTTATAAAAAACTGCTCGTCAAGCGGGTAAATTGTAAAACATATTCATTCTTAATACGACTTAATTCATCATTTATATATATATATATATATATATATATATACGTATGTATAATTTGATTTCTTTTTTCAAAATTATAATGAATTTTCCATGAAGTGAATACAGAACCAAACAAATGAGATAAAATCACCAACGCGTGCAAGTAAAAAAAAAATAATAAATGAAAAAAAAAACACGAAAGTCAGTATAAAATATAAAGAAGATAATGAGTTAAAAGAGATACACTTACTTATGTGTGTAACTCCATATATATAACTACAAATGTAGCTAACTGGAGAGCACACATAAAACCGATAATATAAACTTATGTGACTTTTGAGTAATGGAAAGTGCCGAGCTGACTTTGCGATGCCTACTCTCTGACTGTCGCACGCGCTTGTAAATACTTCGGACTCGTGCAGTCCAGACCATGGCGATGGTGTGCTCCCAAAAGCTTGCATTTCATTCATGCCACAATATATATACTCACGACACTCAACTTAACTCAATTAAACGCCACTCTGCACACTCCATAAGAGCCAAAATGAAACTCACATAACTTAACAGCCTACGTTTTACTCACCTGAACAGGTGCTGGCGCTGACGCGATCACTTCGGCGCCGCTGCCGCTCTCTGCGCCGTTAAGCGGTGAGCGCGGTCGTGCTATTGCCGCTGTAGTTGCGGTTGTTATTGGTATTGACGCTGTGGCGACAGATGATTGCTTTCTACTCGGTGGCGCTGGTAGCAACGTGGCGGGGGATAACCGGTTAGCCGGAGTTGGCAGAATTGCTGTATCGGCTGCCAGCACGTCTCGGCTGCTAGTAGTACTACTACTACTATTAGTAGTGACAGTGATAGGGCTAATGCGTGTGGCATTATTATCTATGTCAGCGTGCGTGTGTATATTGTTTGTGTTGTTGTTGTTGTTGTTATTGTTTGTGTTGTTGTTGTTGTTGTTGTTGTTGTTGGTGGTGGTGGCTTTATTGGCTGCCTCATCATCATCGAATTTAACCCAATTTTGTTTGCCAGCTGCAGCATCGTCTGTCACATCCAAGTCAATATCTTGCAGGGGATGTGAGACATGAGCTGTGGTGGGTTGTTCGCCGTTGGCGGCCATGATATGTTGTGGTTTGTTGTTGTTGTTTTTGATGTTATGGTTTTTTCAAACAGTTTGTTGTTTCTTTTTTTGTTATTTAAATGTTTATTTTAATTATGCTAATTTTTTTTCCAAATATTTAAGTGTTTTTTGTATAGAGAAAAGCTACTGGAGCGCAGTGTGTGTGGAGAGACTTCCTAAAGTTATCTAACTGTGTTATTTCTTTTCCCATTCACTTTTGTTTTATCTGAAATATTTATTAAATATTTGTATTTTTCCGCTTTCTGCTTCGCTTTCAAAGATTTTTTTTACTTTTATCGGGGTTGTGTATGAAGATACGCGTTCCAGAGATAATTAATTTTTACACAGTTTTTGTTATTGTTTTTTCATTTTCCCATTACTTGTAGAGTTTGTCAGCTCCTTTTCGGAATGTTTCAATTTATATCTTATATATAAATATACATGTATGTATTTATATATATTTTTTTTTTGCCTATCTAAACTAAATTCTTGATTTATTGATATTTAATTCACCTAAAAAATTTTATCTCATGCAGCTCATTAGAATTTACTTTTTATTAAAGGCTTATTCAATTTTTAATAAAAATTTAATCGATGAACCAAGATAGATTTCTCATTAAAATTCCAGAAAAAAAAGTTTTTTGTTGACTTCGAATCACGTTTTCTTATGAAGAATAAAAATTCAAATTAGAGATTTTCTCTTGAAAGTAAACTTACTTCCGTTTGGATTCGAAAAAATAGTTGGTTGAAGAAACTTAGAAGAATAAAAAAGAATAATATAAAAATGAGCATTTCTAAATATCTGAAAATATAATTTACAGCCTGCAAGATCTCTTATGTCAGACCGTTCAGCGAGAATTCATCCAAAAATAATTTATCCTTTTTGTCATGAGACGTTTGAATACGAACTTTCAACATAATGTACCTCCTCATACTAAGCCCCTGACACTTATAGCCTTCCTCTCATTCTAGCACGTCTAATATATGTGAGATTTCGCACATCATGCGTACCGCGCTCCTCGTGTACTCAGAGAGAATGTAGCCCAGCACCTAAAAGAGATGTGTAGTCACCGCGCTCAGCCGTTTGGCGTCAAGAGAACCACTTGGATACGAATTGAGACTTTCAGGCGCTTCTTATAGGATAAATTTATTTATTTAAGAAAAGATTGGACTTCATATTTAAAAGCTTTACGGGCTTTTTTGCTTCAAAGAAGAGTTATTATTTGAATATATTTTCATTTAAATTGCAATTGCTTGAAGTACGAACAAGCCACTCGAATACCTGACACTAAAATCGATTTTTGGTTATGAAATTTGGGTGATCGCTGAAGCCCACACACAGTGCCTGACATAAGTATGCAATATTACCGCGATTAAAACACAGAAATTTCATTGATGGTGTAGAAACGCCAGAAACTATCCAAAAAGCACGACGTGCGTGTACCACAGACATCGCTGGATTCTTTGAGAACAAAACAAAGTAGGTCATGGAAATTGGTGAATGGTGAATGACATCTGGCTGTAAATGCACGGAAAAGGTATGTTCTTCTACTGGTTTCAACACGACGGCACATTAGATCTAGTTGCCATTAAAAGTACTCAGTGTCTTCGAGTAAATTACCATGGTGGTGAGAAGAAGTGGCATTGACTAGCCACTCAGATATCCAAGTTTTCATACCCCTGATCTCTTTCCTTTCCATGTAGGAGTGTAAAGTGTTCAAGCTTCTAGGTATTCACAGGATCATATTCTATTCATCCTCTGGCGTCCACGTCACGCGCTCTTAAAAGGTAATAGCAACGATTTTGCAAATGTGGATCCTTAGGTTACCGCTAAAAAAAACGGAAAGCTTCAGGGACATGAAGAGATGGTACTGTTCTATTTTACTACAGCAGTCGTATAAAGGTGTGCGAAGTAGGTAGAAGATCTACTGCGTCAAGGAGTCCTGGCTCACATATTATGTGCTAACGTGCACGCCGATGAAATAAACTCGGGCCATAATACACATCGAACTAAAGTTCCACTTTGTAAAACTCATATAAAGCTGTCCACTTCGCCATGCCGATATCGTGCGGGGCGACTTTATAGTATTTTTTGAACTTCGATCAGGTAATTCAGCCTGCAGTTTTAAATCTCTCTTAACAATTTGAAGAATGGAATTGTGGAATAGCATTTTAAGATATGTGCAACAGAGATCGGAAAAGACCTGTTACGTTGGGGCTTGCCGTACCACAGTTGAGGGACGGTAAAAAGATGCTACAAAGCGGGTGAAAGCATGCCTGGCGAAATTAGATTATTCCGAGGTTTATTTAAGCAATCTATAAGAAGCGCCAATCACCCTGGTACCAGTCTTTTCAATAACACGTTTACGATGCTGCCTGGGGTTTTGTATGAATGACTAAAATACCACATAATTCAATCATTGATACCAAAAAAGTCTCATTGCAAAGGGATCCACACACTACTTCTTTGTTGACTTTAAGGCTGACTTCGGTGTCTAATATGTCTGAGTGTGTTATGTCCGCAAAACGGCTGAGTAGCGCCAAAAGGTTTGGCAAATCTTAGCAGAGCCTCTACGAGCCGTTCGGTATCCAACAAACAATGATTGGATGCCACTTGAATTGACGAAAAAAATATATGGTCTGAGATAGTTTCATAAAACTAAAAATCAAGAAAAATCCAGAAACAATTCCACAGAATAATGACCCAAAATTGATTGATTGATTGACCGAATTACCATCAGTGAAATGGGAGAAAATAACCCATACCTTAAGATAATCATCAATGGTGAAGTAGAAACGGTGAAATATGACAATATTAAGTGAATAAAAATCATAGTCAAAGGTCTTCTTGGCATTCATAAATGACTGTAAAAGCTGAATTGATGGAAAATAATGTGATTCCAGGTGTATGGTGGGATCGGAAGGAAATTGGCTTTGGTGGATGGCTATAACCCCGTAAAATGGCCAACACCGAGCTCCAGATTACAACAAACTCGTCAAAAAAAAGTATACAGAACTGCTCAATGTTTTTGTTGCTGATGTTGTAGTAGCGGCTCAATGCTCAATACCCAATAAAATGGTGTGCTTGATCATAACAACTTGGGTTTATCGGACTGTTTCGAAAATTATACAAATTTTAGTTTTTCAATAAAGAAAAATTATAAACCAAAATATGCACCAAAAAGGGGAAAAAGCAATATGGCTTAGCCTGTTTTGATTATCTAAAATATTTATATTTTGAATGAACTGAATTTTAAATATTAATTTAGATATTTGTGAAACAGGTTGCCACTTAGTTTTAATTATATAAATATTATTTATACATATAACTGAAAGTTTTGTCGCACCATTGCTGTGAATATTTTCTAATTTATGTTTATAAAAAATAAACCCAAGCATAATAATTCACGAAAACAGTTTTTTTCCATTTAGGGTTGCCACGTGTTTTTTTTTTTTTTTTTTTTGAAACTTGACTATAGAAATGAAACTGAAATAAAGCTTTTCCACATAGGGCTGCCACATGTTTTTTTTTTTTTTTTTGAAAGTTGACTATAGAAATGAAACTGAAATAAAATATTTAACATGCATTCAGCGCTATTTGGGATGTTTTAAATTTATTAATTATTTTGATAAATATTTTAGCGTAATAAATTTTTTTAATTTTTTTTATTTAAAAAAAATTTTTTTTTTAGTTTTTTTATTTAATATATATTTTTTATTTTATTTAATTTTTTTATTACATTTTATTGAATTTTATTTTTGAATTCATAAGGAAATTAAACTGTTCTCACCAGTGGATAATTTGCTAGTAAGAAAATAGCTCGGTAGTTTTTAAATAAAGTAGGGAAACCCCAAGAAATTGTTGCATCTTTTTATGGTGAAATTTAATATGATTTTTGTGGTCATTTTGCTGTTTGTTTTAGGGTTCTGTTTTTGGTTAAAAAAAATTAATAAGTTCAAAGAAAAATATTATTTATATTTTATAATATTTATTGCACATTTAAATATGTATAAATATATATATATAAATTTATAACTATAAAAATTTATATCTATATTTATCTTATCTTTATCTATATACACTTTCTCGGTAGTTTGCCCATATTTAATTCATTTTATTACTAAATAAAAAAATTGTTTTTCTTATTGCTCATTAAGTCATTTGACAAATGGAATTTTTTGAAAAAAAAAATGCTTTTCTTATTGCTGATTTAGTCATTTGAAAAATAGAAATTTTTTCAGCTATAAATACACATTTTATCTGCTCATTTCATTGCATTGTTTCTAACAATTTTCTCAACCATCATTTGCATATTCAAACACCACTACAGTCACAATGACATTGTGATCACATCATATGAGCAGAGATTTTTTTTTTAATTTTTTATACAACTTTATGTGTATATACACGCACGTTCATATATAATATATATATATATGTAGTATGTTTGTTTCTTTACTCTACTTCAACACACTTTGAACTTCAACATTTTATTTTTCAATTATTTCACATCCACGTTGGCACTTTGAACTTCACTAAGTGTGATATACACATATATGTTTGTGTGTATATTGTTTTTTTTTTTTGAATTTGTAACCATTATTCAGAAAAGAAAAAAAAAAATTAATTTTTTACGCTTCAAATGCTGGCTTACATAAGCTCGTGTTATGGCTTAAAGTGATTTCCTCCAACAGTCGCCAATAGAAAAATGCAAAAATTGTAGTTAATAAAAAAAAAAAAATAAAGATAGATTCGCTAGCGCAGAAAATGCATAGAAAGCGAGAAAATTAAATAAAACTATATTCAAAAGTAATAGACGTTAAGTCGCGTACGCGCACACCGCCAATACACGCCGCACAGAAATGTGTTTTTCTCTCGCCACAAACTTTTACGCGTTTAAGCCAACAAAGTCGAAACACAACTGAGCGCGACAAATGTGGCCATAAAGCGGCACACCCAGCGTGACGATATGTATGACAAAAAAGCGGCGCTCCATCATACTTCCAGCCCAATGCACGTAAGCTCGGTTGTAGCTGCGGTCGGTTTTCAAAATTTTACACATTTTACACGTTCACTGGAAGACGCTGTAGCGCTTTTAACATTATTTTTTCTCGCCCTTTTTCTACAAACAAACACTCTCAGCTTTATCTCTTTCATGGGACACACCTTTGCTTTATATATGAACGCATCGCAGTACATATATGCCCGTTGTATGGTATGACTCACCTTGTGGCTGAGCTTACCTGCCTTGGAGCCGCACACTGTCTAAAAACCTATTGATTTTGCTTTCGTTTTTGTACTACTCATTTACCTGGTTTACGATCGCGCACACACACACACACCCACACATACTCTAACTACGCTGACACTCTCTCACTCACTTGCAGCTGCGGCTAAGCTCATCGCTAATCGTTGATCGCTGATCGCTTAACCGCTTTGTAATCGTCGTTACGCTGCATGCGTTCATACAGACACTCGTCGCTCTCTCGTTACTTCGTTTAAAAGCGTTAAAAGCAAATGTTGTGCAAAGGTAAAAAAAAATGCTGGAAAGTGTTGCATGAAAGTTGAGGGATTTTTGTGTTTGTTTTATTTTAAAAAATTGTTACTCACTCAATTGCATTTATGTATGTTTGTTTATCAACTTTTTTGTGTTTCAGCTTGTTTTGCTCATATGAGTATTCAGTTATCGGTCATTGAACGGCGTTGAATTGAGTTTCGGTCATAATTCTGCATTTCTTTTATTATTTGTTATTCATTCCGCAGTTCTTTCGGAAATTAGGTCAACTTTATTGGTTGTGCTCTATGCACACGTGTATATATATATATATAAGAAAAATAAATATGAATTTCTCTCTTAAGACAAAAGAAATGTGCTTAAGCTAAATACAGGGTTAGCCATTTTGTTGTTCGAAAAGCAACGTACATAAAATACATTAAAAGAGTGTTCCAAGCAGAGTCCTTTTATTCAATAGCCTTTTTTTTAACCGATCACACGCGAGTCGTATCAAGCTGTCGTGTCATTCCTGTTCAGTATTGCTTGGCATTTCATCATGGCAAGACTTACGTCTGAAGAGTGTTTACAAATCGTTCAACTTATAGCCGACATAATCGGCCTACTGAGCGTACAATTCGAAACACCAACACCCATCTTGAGACCCAGCATTCACTATTGGAGAATGTTCAACCGAATTGATCACGTCCAGCGCGCAGTGAGGCAAATATAGCGGCCGTCAGTGAGAGTGTTTACGAAGACGCTGTTCGCCGCAACTCGGTCTAAAGTAAAGAGAGACTTGGCGCAGTCTTAAAACACAAAGTGCAGCTTGTGCAAAAACTGAGGTCACTCGACCTACCAAAGCAACATCGCTCCGCTCTATGGGCTCTTGAAAAGTTCCAAGAATATCCGACGTTTTCAAGCCAAATTTTGAACAGCGATGAGGCCCACTTATGACTCAATCGGTATATAGAGTAACATAATTACCGCATTCGGCACGAAGAGCACCGTGAAGAGATGCAAGAGCTGTCATTTCATACAGAAAAAAAAAATGGTTGGTGTGGTTTATTGGCTGTTGGGATCATCGGTTCATATTTCTTCAAAAATCATGCCCTTGAGAACGTAACGTCAATGGTCACCGGTATAGCGCCATGATAACTAACTTTTTAATCTCGGCGACATTTAGTTTTTACAAGACGGCGCCATTTTCACATATCGCCTCAATCACTGGATTTATTAAGAGAACACTTCAGTGAGCAGATAATTTTACGTTTTGGGCCGGTCGATTGGCCACCAATATCGTATTATATTATATCACACCATTATATCTTTTCCGGTTGTGATATGTAAAGTGTGAAGCTTATGCGGACTATCCCGTTTCGAATCAGGCCTTGAAGTAAAGGGCCACGCGTGTCATTTGCCAGTTGCTCGTTGTCGAAATGCTCAAAGGAGTCATCGAAAATTGAACTCAACGGATGAAGCCTTTGAGCCGCATCCAACATTTGAAAGAGATGATCTTCAAAAAATAAATACCAAAGAATGTTCTTTCGAATGTTAGCAAACATTCCCTATTACATTTAAATTCTCTGCGCTTTTTTCATTAAAAAAGTAGGAAACCTCGAAACTGATCTCACTTTAAAATAAGCTTTTTCTTGATGCTCCATTTTTTTTATAAAATTTGTACCTTGATAAAATATATGTAAAACACTACAGCATTCAAATGACCGTCTCGTGAATTTTTGCAAACTCTTCGATCCGTTTGAGGTGGTTTTCGGCCATCTTTTGGTACATGTTGGGCAGTATTTGAGGAATAGAGAGAAAAGTCCAATGGTGGCAAATAACACAATCTCGATGACGAATTGACATCGGCAAGACGAGGGATTACACGGTAGAGAAATTTTTCTCTCAGTAAAGCCATTCTCGCTTGTGTTGTTTGGCATGCGGCTTTTTTTTATCGGAGTTTCGAATAAAATTTCATATCTGAAAAGCTCTACGCTCATAGATGAATTACTTTTAGCAGATTAACGACCCGAAATTTCAAAGCTTAAAAGCTCGGCCGCATGGAAAGAAGGTGCTATTTTGATGGTGTAAGGCAACTGGCACTTTTTGAGATAAATGCTCGGATCGGCCATTAATATAGGAAAACAATATCAGCCAAATAGTAACCACAGCTATGCTTACAGAACTGTATCCTTTTTTATGAAATTTTCCATCACCATCAAATCAGAAAGTTGCTGATGTAAGCCCTGAATAGCTTCACGAATTCCCTCTTTGAAATCTTGAATCGATGTTGGCCTGTTGCCGTAAATTTTCTCTTTCTTGTGGTCAAAAAGGACGAAGTCGCAAGGTGTTAAACCACAACATCTCGGCGGCCAAGTGCGGTCCGGAAGCTTTTCCCTTAAGAGATCGTTGGTTTCCATGCTTTGTTCTTGTTGAAAGCAAACGTTGTCCAGTTCATTTCACTTCCAATTCAGGCTATAAAAAATCATTAAGCACTCCATTGGGCAATCCGAGAAATTACTTCACGACGACTGAAAATTTTTTTTGGTTTTACACACCAACTCTGCCAAATTTTCACCACTTTTATAGTAAATTTTAATAACTCCAAAGCGTTGTTGAAGCGCGTATTGTTCCATTTTTAGCCAAGACGAAGCTTTTACTTGTGAAATATCAAAAAATACAGTTTCGAAAATAATAATTGGAAAACCCTTTTCACATTACAAGGTTTTTTTGATATAAATTATATTTTTATGAATTTTTTGATTTGATCTCACACCAGAGAAGCATCAGTAGCGAAGTAGTAAAATACCAGTTAATTTTCTGCCGGATACAGTAAGCAAAGCTTTAAAGCTTTGCAGAAAAACAATTCTTCCAACTACTATTCAGCGTTTTGATTAGAAAGTTTCACTTTTAATAGTTTTTAATCCTAAATAAATTTTAGTTTTTAACGGTATAGCTTTAATTATTTGTATTCACAAATAAAAATAAATCCAAGCAATTTTTGTTTTTGCCTAATAGCTCTATCTTCATTTACAATTTACGTAGCAATGGAGCAGTGGAAAGGTGTTAATTATCTTATTCTTCTCAGGCAATTAGCCATGAATATGGCATCCACAGTACAATATTGATTACATGGCAAAGTTTACAGTCAATTAGTATATTTGTAATGTATTTATATAGCAAAATCATATTGCTATTATCTCAGTAGCCTCTAACTAAAAAGCTCCACAGGTCAATATGAAGTAGCGGCACTGATGGTCACACAACAGGAGTTAACTTGGCTTACACTTGAAATTCAAATCGATCGGATATGAGGCATACGAAACCAAAAATTTAAAAGACTTTAGGCAGTGGAAACAAAGCAATTATGATATTATTTCAGCAATAACTATAAAGTTTTATTTAAAAAAAAAAAAATTAAATTAAAAAAAAAAAAAAAAAATTAGATACAAAAAATTAAATAAACTAAAAAGGTTCAAATGAAAGTTTGAAAAAAAAAGACTTCGTTCCTTTATACGCACTCTTTTAAATAAACTTTTTTTATTAATAAATTAATACCGTCAAAATTCTCTTAACACCGAACTTCATTAAGTCACCACACGCGGCAGCACTGTGCAATATACAGAAAGGAATTCTTTCGTATAAGCGCAATTATGCGGATTTTCCACATCAATGCTGTTAAAAGTATTGAAAATACGTTTCATTAATTTCACTTAAAAACTTCGTGAAAAACATTCAAGTACTTATGTGTGTATATATACAAGCTGGGCAGCCAAAGAAGCTGATTGAGAAAGGTATGCGAAAGTATATTGACTTATTACATAAAAAATATGTAAGAACACACACATACATTAATGCATTGCACACATTTCAATGAGATGTTATATACATAACGATTTACAAGAAAAAATTCGAGATTAAATTGCTGCCTGTAGAGTGTGAATTATAAGAACGCAAGCACTGACCTATTCATTGTAATTAAAAAAAAAACAAAACAATATAAAATAAAATAAAATAAAATAAAATAAAATAAAATAAAATAAAATAAAATAAAATAAAATAAAATAAAATAAAATAAAATAGAAATATAAAATCAAATAAAATAAAGTATTTGAAAATCCAAAAATTAAAAATAAATGAAATAAAACTCAAATAAAGAAAAAAAGAAAAAAAGGAAAAAAGAAGAAAAAAACAAAATGAAGCAATGGATTATTTTCTTAGCTGAGCCAACAGAGTATGAGTCGTTATTTATGAATAATTTCATTCGAAGATACGGATAATATTGAAATTGAATATATAAAATCTCAATTTACTTACATATGTATGTATGTATATAATGTTATAAGTAACACTTGTTCTCATATTTTACGATCTGCTTGCAATTATATACATTACATACAGATATATTATTCTTTTGCATTCTACATTTATCGCTCATATACATTTTCACCACATATGTGACTCAGGGTGATATATATGTAAATATATATTTTAAATATAAATGTAGTTTTTTCGTATGTTTTCTTTTTTTTTGCTGATTCGAAACAACAGCTACTACACATAAGCGTAACTATAAAGCCGCTAATGACGACGCGCTTGAATGCCGTGGAAGAAAACCAAAGTGCGAATGTATTGCACAAAGAAATTGATAATAATATTGC